AAATACCTTAAGACTTGTGCCCCACAGGCTGTATTGGGAAGCGCTGTTACAGAAATCCAGCACCTCCTTTCAGCTGAAGCTGTACCATGACCTTTAATGTAGATAGGTGACCCATAAAAACCTAAGGAGAACATGGGGGAGTTTGACCTGCAGAACTGATCAGCCAAATGTATCAAATGTCAGAATACATGAGTATATAGTAAATTCCCATTTCTCTAAGCTGCTTGACCAGCAAGGAGAATTATTGTCTTCTGGGATATTAGACACATGCATGAACCCCTATGCCTTGCTAGGCTGGTTTAAAGATATTTAGAAATTTGTTCTTCATTAACACAAAGAAAAGAAATTAGGAAGATCTAATAGCTTGCTGCCTTTATTTTTTTTTTCTTATTGCTCTGAAAGATTAACCTATAAAATATTCACTGAACAATCATACTAGAAGATTTTATTAGGCCTTTGGTTACTTTTTAGGGTTTACCACTCATTAAATAAACTTTCATCAACTAAAGGAAGCTAAGGGAAAACATATTAACCTTTTACAAGCTTTTGACCGGGTAAAATATTAAGCTGTGAAAGGAATTACCAAGTATCTAGAGGTTTGATTTGGCAGAAAGTATAACAGTTTTAACTTACTATGGAAATGTGAAACCCATATTCAAGCTTTTGAGCTTGCATATTACTAAGATGATGTTTCTTACACAAAAACACTTATCACAGCATTTTTCTTATTTCTGAGGATATCAGGAGTTGCATTGCTTTTCCAAGTAGTGTAACTCTGACAGTTTCTGCCTCATAAGAAAGTACCAGTGGATGTGCAGGTCTTCAAAGTTGAAAGCTTTGGGCTGTCATGCCCCAAAGTGCAAATGCAGAGTTTGGTATGAGCAAAACTCTACTTAGCAGCTTAAACTGTAGGGCATTTCTTTGCCTTTGTAGTTAACCCTGTGCTATGAAACAGCACCTCTGTGCCTTTCTTTTCAGGTTACTTTTTCCAGAAGCCACCAATTAAATAAAAATAGCATTCTGAGAGGAAAACCACACCACTAGTTTGCTTCTCTTTTATTTTAAAAAGCCACACACCACCTTTTAAATAAAAAGCATTTGCGATGATGAATTTGAAGCAGCAATTGGGCATAGGAGCCTGCAGTTCATACTCCTGAGACCAAGTGATGAACCCTTTTAAGGCCAGGTTCTTCTGTGAAGAAAACTAGATTTGCACTTGTAATCAATACCTGCTTTGCCACAATTAATCTCATGTACAGAGGAAGCTGTCTGTATAGGTTCTGTCTGTCATTTTTTATCCTGTAAGATAAAGATTGAAGGCAGGGATATTTTTCCCATAATGACAAGTGGCAAAGGTTCAGGATGTCTGCCTACCCCCTTCAGGCAAAACCATGCCCAGGGTTCCTGAGAAAGAGGAACATCCAAATATGTCCCCATTAAATTTGAGGAGGTAACTCCTGAAATGTGTCTACTCACCTTCCCCATTATTTACCTAAGCCAGCCCACTGGAGGATGCAGTCTGCAAAATGGGGGAAAACCAGCAACCAACAATGGCAACCAACAATGGTAACCAACAATGGCAACCAACAATGGCAACCAACAATGGCAACCAACAATGGCAACCAACAACGGCAACCAACAACGGCAACCAACAACGGCAACCAACAATGGCAACCAACAATGGCAACCAACAACTAAAACAAAAATTAAATTTTAAATAAATAAATTAAATTTAAAAAAATAAACATTAAGGAAAAATAAATACATAAAGACAATTTTAAATGAAAAATAAATTTTAAAATATTTTAAAATTTTATTAAAAATAAATAAATAAAAAGGGGAAGACATACTTTACATGAAACATTTAGTTGCTTCTAAACGATACTTCCTGAAATCAACTAATTTCCAGACAGAAAAAATAGCTTTGCTGCAAAGATGACAGGGCATCACCAAAACCATTTCCCTCATTTTCTTCTGAGAAAGCACCTTTCAGGAAGTGAGGTCATATTTTCCAGCCTCATGCCTAAAAAATGTGCTCTGTGTTGACAAAGTACTGCTCTGTTAGAGCATCTTTGACAGGATGCATTGTGGCACCCTTTCTACCGCAGGAGTTGTACCAGGATAAATCCACATATTATATATAAAATGCATACACAACTGTGGCAAGGAACAAAGCAGTCCCTTCAGTTTTTGAAGACTCATCTTGCCCAGAAGCGTAAAGCCTGGTTTGTGTGCAGCAGTGTAGCAATTCTTTAATACAAAAAATGGATGCAGCCCAAACCACACACACAAAAACACCCCCCCTTTTATATGTTGTATTGCTAATTGAAACAATTTGCCATGATTTATTTATGCTGATGGAACAACACACCAGAAGTTTCTAAGTCCCTGTAAAAGGACTGTTTTTTCCTCCAGGCTAGATCAATTTTCCATACCAGAATTCCTCAGTTTCAAAGAAAATTAGGTAACCCATGCTTACCTAATTGCTGTGAAGCTATACTTCATGAAAGATAAACCAATCACTGAATTGGATGTAGAAAGCCATTTATACTCAAGGTATAAATCCTATAGTTTTTTTGTTTGTTTCCAGCTTCAAAGTTTTCAGGGAGGTAGATTTGCTCCCACCTTTGTGTACACCACAGCCTGCCTGGTGAACATGTGTACATGGATGAGTGTTATTCAGTGTTTTGCTTTCTCCCTGCTCTCCAACAACATTCACACACTTAAATGCATTCTCTGTCACACTCACAGGTATCCCAGGGTAGTTTCTTCAGAGTAACATGATTTTTTCCCCCACCGCCTAAGGAGTTGAAGTCTCACTATTAGTCTGGTGTGAACAACAAAGATTACTTTTTCATTTCCTACTGGTGCTCTACGAATTTTGCTGTTATTAAAAAAACTAGTAACTTGGCTCTTGATTTATCTGGAAATTGCACTAGACTATTCACAAACATGCTTAAAAATAAAGCAATTACTAAGTGTTTTGATAGCTCAAGATTGTCCAGACCTTACAGATTCAAGACCAAGAAGCAAGAAGTATCTTTTCTGCTTTGCTGGTTGGGCAACAAAACCCTGAGTTTCCCTTTGCTCTTCAAAAGCAAATTACATTTGGGCCAGGAGTTTAGAAACTGCTGTCCTCCTCTGGACCCTCGCCTTTCAATTAAATGGTTAACTAGACTTAGAAATTTTCATTTCTAGGTAAAGACCACTGCACAGGAATTACTCTAGGATGGCACAACTGCAGTAAAGATACAAATGATAAACACTTTCATTTTCAATTGTATTAAGCAACAATTTTGGAGAGGGCCTAGAGACTGGACAATCCTTGCTGAGTTTCCCCATGCCTTCCAAGAGTAGATGTGATTAATTCAGCCTAGAATCCATTCCCAGCAGTTACTGGGATCCTCAGTAGTGAGGAATTCAACCATCATTTTCTATGCTCATTAAACTTGCCCCAAAATAAATTAAAAAACAATAAACAAAAAGAGCAATCAGTATGTACTGATTCCATGAGCTTTTATTTAGAACAAAATGGACTTCACACATTTTCATAAGGGTCTCTTCTGGGCTGAAGAACTAGTCATAAAATGTACTGTTATGCTATTATCCCTGAAAAGAAAATTTTGAATTCAATTGTATGTGTCAGTTGGAGATGAATAAATTATAAACATCACAACCCTACTGTGAAGCCCCTGAACTATTTATTTTTATATGAAAGCTTCAAATATTTATGACCCTTATCCTCAATGATCTAAACACACACCTTTAAGAACTGTAATTACCAGCATATCACTAGCTACACAAGAAAAAGAACACTCACAGTCAGCAGTCTGTTATCCCAGGAAACTAGATTCTCCAGAAATCCATTTCTATTGTCTAGGGTGACGGCAGAAGCTGCGAAGTCAGACATCAAAATACTCGAGGCTGAGGCCACACACACATACCCACACAAGGAAGAGATACACTAGTTACTCCAGCTGGCAGTAGCATTATTTTTCATTTATTTTAAAAAAAAATTCACAACTTTCTCTTAATGAAAAGCAAACTGGAATCTGTGCCTGAACTCTTACTATAAACATACCAAAATAAGCACAGTAAAAGTCAACTTTAGACTGGAAACATCTGTAAAATAAGGTTTACATTGCCATACCAAAAGCTGAGTTAAAAGAGAACAAATGAAAATATCCATCAACAACCATCAATATTCTCAAAGATTAAGAGGTTGTGAACAAAATCCCGATCTCCATTACGTTTTCTTCAGTTGGTTAGAAAGAACATGAACTATAAAAAGTCATCTAAGAAACTGCAGAAACCTTGCTAAGGGGAAGAGAAAGCCTTGAATTTCACTTACAGACTTCTCATTCCTTTTCAATAAAACAGAAGTGAGGAACATTGACCACACAAATGCGCAACTGGACTCCTCTGATAAAAAACATATTGAGGCAATTCAGTTACCCGAGAAAAACAGATATCAGTATTAATACAGAAATCTTTTTAAGTTCTCAAATGACATTACAATTACCCATTACACTTTGAAATATGTGATTCCAGCGAGTAGCCAGAGATCTAGGAATACATGTTTCCATATTAAAATGATAAAAATAAGCAGGAAGATACCTGAAACAATAAAAGGCATTTTTAGCTGGAATGTGTTTTGCTATATGCTACAGGAAACTGCATCAGATATGACATTATACTGAATCTTGTAGTGGTTCCAAGCAGTATAATGGTACACACTGTTAAATACACACACTTGACCAAATAAATAGTCAATCTGCCAGAACAGTTAACACAGGAAGAAATCCACATTTTTTCTTAATGTAAACAGTAAGGTTTCTAAAAGACATTTTAATTTTAAGCATTATTATCTTTTTAACATTACTGCATGCAACACTGTCGAAGTTTTATGTCACCTTTGTGCATCACTAGGCAAGAAACAGTAAGACACTTGGAGAGAAATTCTCAAGTCACTGAGTCTAGTGCTGCACAGCCTCAGTAAACTGCACACCTGGACAAGACAGATGTTTGTATATAAAAGGTAACTTTATTTTATATACCCGTAATCCTCTGCACAAAGATCTGACCCTCACGTTTTAAAAGGCACAGGCTTTTAAAAAGGCTAGAGTGAGGGGCACTTAAAATGGAACACATTATTTACCTGATTTCAAGAGCTGCCTTTAAAAGGCAGCTAGACAACTGAACTGCAAGTCCTGCCAGAAATCAAGAACTGTCCCCACCATCATTTAAACACTTGAAACATTTAGGCTTGTCTTATGGATTCACTCTCATTCTTTGCATTTCAGAGAAACCACCTGCTGGAAACAATAGTTTCCTTTACCATGTTTTTTAATCCTTAGTAACAGGTGAAGTGAAAAGCACTAGTAAACAGCTGAATGACCGCATACTTATTTCTTCATTGAATCCTTACTCTTACTTAAACCAAAAGTTCAAGTTATTAGTAGAATGTGAATGTTATAGGCATCTGAACACAAGTGCAAATTGGTTTAGACTTTTTGAAACTGTTTTTGTACAAAAGCAAGAAAATAGTCTTTGGTGTAGGTTCATATTGTACAATCCAAGTATAATAACATCAGTCAAAAATTACAGAAAACCCTTAACTTATCTTCTGAAGTAGAAGAGTCCAAAGCTCAAGTGATCACACTGATTTATAGGCAGAGAGCTCTTCCAGGTGGCCTACATGGCCTATACCTGGTCTTTCACTACACTTACATAGCCACTATCATGCTAAATATGATAAAATTTTCAAGCTTTCACAGCTTTCACTGTCCTTTCACAGGTGGAAAGGACAGTGTCCCCACCTGTGCTCAGATATTAGCAGATTGCTTAGATGTGTGCAACCTGGAGCTGCCTTGAGACAGTGATGCAGCCTGCATCTCCTAAGAGTCACCAACCAACACTCAAACAAATGACTCTGAGAGGAGGAAATACTGGACAGAACACTCTCCCCACTACTAATGGCCCCAGTTTTAAGCTGGCAGTTAGGAATTAAATTTCCAGATGCCTTTTTAGTAAAAAGCAGAAGTGTACCTTTGGCACCTGTTTCACGACAAGAAGTGCATGCAGTCCTGGAATGTTCTGACTGAGTTTGCTAGATGTTCACTTTAAAATTGAAAGCTATCAACAGCTAAATTTAAAAAAATAAAATTACACAAAAAACCAAAACCACACACAAAACAACACAATATCAAAACACATTTAAAAATAACACTCCTCTTCAGTACTTTTTTTCTCCTAGACTGCTATCCTTACACCTGTGTTTCCACAGGAAACTGCTATACCTGGTATAAAATTATTCCACTAAACCATCCTGTTTCTTACTTTCCAGCAAGGGCATACTTGTGTCTTCCTTATCCTTTTCATTTGCATCTCCATTGTCCTCTAATTGCCCCAATTTCTGATGAGCAAATGTGTAAGTGTCATGGTCTGTGTCCATCAGAGGTGGAGATTCCTCCCCAGTGTTAGAAGAGCATTTAATGTCTTTTCTGAAGGAGAATGGAGGCGGTGAAGGAGGCAAGCTACCCATGCGTCCATCAAAAGGCCGGTACACATCAACTTCTGGGGCAATTGAGCCATTAGACTCCTTCAGCAAGTGTCCATAGACCACAGCATCATCAATAACTGCATAGACATGAGACTCGTTGTTTTGCCTCCCTTTTCTGAATAAGCTTTTTTTTCCAGGCATCTGGGTATTCACGTTAGCATTGTACACTCCCACCATGGGATTCTGGGTTTTCTTCTTCCTGTTACAGAGTTGAAATTGTTAACAGGTCAAAAACAACGTATCTGGTGTGTTTGAACTCAATAATAACAGCTTCTGTTTACCCATCCCAGCCACAGTGTCAGGCAGTCTACCTGGATTAAAGGCTTTACTGGCAATCTTAGGAAAAATAGACTCTTGAGTCTAGACATGCTGTTTTAACAGAGCAGAAAATAACTTCACACCACCTGGTTACCCACTGCTGCTGTCTGACCCTGAAGTTTGCAAGATTAACTGCAATGGCCTGCCAAGCATTGGGGTCCTGGCTGTGCAGTGTACCGAGTCCCACAACATCCACCGACATTAGTAAGACCCAGCGACTACTAGATCCTCACAAAACAAGGCTGAGTGTTATTTGAAGATGAGACAGTGGGTCCCCTATAAAAGCCAAATGAACTTTTCTTGGTTATACTTTGAGTGACTGTCCCTAAATTGGAAAGAACAAAGGCCAAACTGAAGACTTTTAAGCCTGCATTTGTAAAGTCTCTCCTGTGTGGCAGGAAAATGTGCTCATAAGTGCATAGTCACCATATTGCATAAATTCCTTCCAGCTTTACAGTTTCTGGACCCAACCACCTTGACGGCACTGAGAATACATGAAAGCCCAAGCTATCAATGACTTCAGACTCTGCTTGTATGAGTAATGCTACACATGTAAGCTTTGCACAACTCAGTTCTCACTCCAAGGACTCATCTCATAGAAAAATACTCCCACTTGATGTGAAAACTCCAGAAGTGGCTGGATGTTGTGTAGGTGAAAGAAAGCTCTTGGTATATCTAGGTAAGCTTACAGCTTGCTTGAATGAAGACTTGAATAGAGTCACACACAAAATCACAATGAATGTAGCTATTGCGTGTCAGGGACTGCTGGAGTCCAACCAACACCTCACTTACAGTACAGCCAAAAGCCTGTACTAAGGTCAAGGTAAGCAGTACTCTGCAGGTTGAAGTAATGTGACTCCAGGAATGCTGCTCTGCTCTTAGAGTCAGTCAGTTTAGAGTAAAGAAGCATTCCTGGAGTCACACTGCTTCCACACCATTGCCTACCTAATGCTTTAGACCCTGGTTCAAGGGATCTATATCAATACATGAAACAGATGGCCAAGCAGCTCTCCCAAAATACCTTCTTTAACTGCTAAGTTACACACATCAAATTATGAACTTACTTCTTCTTAACACAGCACACAGTCAGTCCAATAGCCGCAAGAACTCCGGCCCCAGCTACCACAGCGAGTATGATTCCTAGGTCTGCAAACAGACAAGATACAAGGACACTGAGCAAAAGAAAGAACATCCAGCTTTCTCCTAAAAGCTGCCTGGGTTTGAACCTCCTCAAGAGTTTCTACACATACCAGCTGCCTGCAGAGCAGCAGTTCCCAAGCCATGCTCACCACAGAACAACACAGGCCATTTCCAAGAGGCTGGAAGTCAGGCAACAACCAACTACTGCTGTTGGCAGTGGAGCACAACCAAAACCCCAATCAACCCACCCGCCTCCAAGAGTTTAATACAGTTCATGCACTGCTGAACTTACCTGCAGCATCTCACATGCCTCTGGCTGAATAAGCAAGGAAGAGAAAAAAGTGAAGAAACAGAGAAGGATTCAACAGGAGAAATAGTGACATTTCAACAATTTCCCCTCAAAACCATCCTTTCCTCTGAAATGCACAGGTTGTGTTGACTTGGGGTTTTCTAGGAGTCATAAAATTGATTAGGAAAGTCCACACATGAGCAAACAAAAATGCTGCATGTTTTAAAAGAAGTATACATTACAAAAAAAATTATTGAAAAATTAGAAATCAATTTGATACTGCTTCAGCTCTAGTCTGTGAATCCAATACTTCTATGGACAGCAGTCTTCCACAGGTGAAGAGGAAGTGCAAATGTGAAGCAAATTTAAATAAGCAAAGACTACTCTAAAAATGTCCCCTTCCCCCTTTTTTTTTTTTTTTACCATTTATGTTTCAGGGAGATGAAAGAGAACAAGAACACAGATTTTGCTGTTAGCAGTCAGGGCCCACTCTCCACTAAATGGTCGGACCTGTCCTGGGGATGATTTCTTGCTTATGTGAACACTGAGATTAATTGAATTGCTAACATGAAGTGAGCACTACTTGGATGAATAAGTTTGCATAATCAAATCCCAAGCTTTTCACCAGGTCTGTGACCTTGGAAGGGAGAAAAATCATTTGATCTTATTATACATTCTGTCTGCTATCGCCAACTGAAAAACCTGAATTAAATTTAAAAAAATGAAATCTAGTCTTAATACCCCGATCCCTTCAATCCCCTGTGTAAATAAAAGAAAACCCATAAACATACCCCACCCCCTAGAAACCCCCACCACATTAAAATCCCTCCTTTCTCTCCAGCTCCTAGAAATACCCAGCTGAAACTCTCAGAAGTTTTTGAAGGACAGACGTTTTCAAGTGCAGAATCTCATAAACCTCCCACATCCAAGGAGGACCACCATCCATTCCTGTTACCCCAAGGGAAAGCAAGGAAACAAGCAGAAAACAAATCACCACAGCCTTACAGGACTCACCTATCTGCTTGTCAGCAAAAGTCACCCAGAACTCCAAGGTCAGGTGCATCTTGTCCACAGGTTTACAGTTGGAGATGTTTACCCAGAAGTTGTGATACATATTTCGGGGATTAGGCAGAACTTCATCCTCACGGCGCACGGTCTCCTCTGCCCCCAAAGTCTCCTCCTTTATGTTGATATAGGCACGGCCTGTCTCACAAGCAATACCCATGCGGTCCTTGAGGAACCCAAGGCGGGCAATTTGCTTGCTGGGCACAATGATGTACCAGGATATGGAGACATAGGGAGGTAAACCATAACGCCAGTTGGGAGTCTGCAAGTAAACTCTGGCCTTTGGATTTGGACTCACAGTGAAAGAGCACTCATCTGTAGTATGGGAAAAGAATGAAAACTTAGTTCTAATAATTACAGTCCCCTCCTACATCAGTAACTATCACAACAAACACAGGCATATCTGCAGAATTTCCCATAACCATCTACCCAGAACATGGAGTGCAAAGTTCGTTCTTTTTTCCAGGAACAAACAACCTCACTGGTTCAGATACAGACTGATTCTAGCAATGGCTCCAGGACTAGACTCTAAAGAATTGAACTCTTAATTTCTGTTTATCCATACGTGCTTTAATAAGCATATTGAGAGATTTATCACTGCACAACAAAATATACAAAATACCTCACCTTTAATATGTGGCACAAAAGACATTTTCAAATCTTGATGGTTAGACTCATTGATGAATCCTTTACCAAATGTATTTAAGGATATGGTGATATTATTCCTCATCTGAATCTTTTCAATGGATCCACCAGGACAGAATACACCAACATTCAGCTCCGTCTCTGGGGTGGCACTAACAATGTTGTAACTGAAGCTCCTGTTGCACCTCTGCTCTGGGACATCTGAGACATGTTGCTGAAGTTTCAAGGACGGAGATGTAACTTCTATGTTGATCAGATCGGGGGCCAAAAGCTTCCAAATAAACCTGTGCAGCGGAATTGGCAATTGCATAATAGCCTTGGGCACCGAAAGAGAATAGATCTTCCTCTGACACCACCAAAGATCAACACAGCCTGCAATCACAAAAACAAATCTCAAGGGTTGTGTATTTCTTGCAGAGGAATTATCTAGGTACATACAGAGTACAGTCAGTTTTTCCTTACAGAACTCAGATAAGCACCTACCTGAGAAAATATCCCCTCTTAGAAACCTTTACCCAAACATGTATTGTTTGTATTTAAAGAGCTTTCCTTAATATGCTGCAGGACACCCAAGAAACAAATAGATACAAACATATTCAAAATTCCTCACTCAAGATACTACTTTTGCTATATCACTTGCTAACTGAGACGCTGCTACAGACTAGTCAAGGTACAGATACATACCTGAAATCTCTTTCTTTACCAATAGTTGAAAGCATTTAGGAAAATCATACACCAAGGGGACACCCAAGCAGCACAAGATGCATTCCTGATGGCCACCTTGGTCCTGAATTTTCATGGGCAGATAGATTTATGGCTCTCAAGCTCTGTTTCCCTATTTCACAGTAGCTAGCGAGAAGATTCTTAGGTGATTTCTGTCCTTTCCCTTCTGGGAACAGTTACACAGTTTCTATTTTTAAAGGCAGAATGATGTACTGAACAAGGTCACCTCCAGATTCATTCTACCCATCTAGGTGCACTGTACCCATCTGGCCCAGCTGGCCAATGCCCCGTTTACAACCAAAATCCATTTCAAGCCAAAAGGAGAGAGAAGGTTTCACTGAGTCCTGGGGAAAAACATGCAAAAGCATTCCCTAGGCAACAATGTTAAGCCACTTTTGTCATACTTATGCCTTTTTCAGCCGTGATCCTCAGACGGGATAAGTCCTTGCACAGAAAGGAGATCCTGTAGACGGTGCCAGACGCTAAAGTCAAGATGCGGTCGCAGGTGCGAGGATCCTTACAGATCAAGCATGCGGGTTCAGACATGAGTGGGGTGCGGCCAGGCCACCCTTCTAAGTGTATGGTCACAGTCATGTTCCGCTCCTTGCTCAGGTCAACCAGATGGGTGACATCTGCAACGAAAAACATCCCAGAGCAGTTACAGGCAAGAAGCGTGGTGTGAAGCAGAACTTCATCTCTTCTCGTCCCATTATACGAGCAGCTGTCACAGCTATTTCTATCTCAGCTAAGATATTTACTTCTTTCCATCAATGTAATATGAACTCAGGAGGTATTGTATCACTCTTCTAACGTAGAGGTTTGAGCCTTTCCACACACAAAGCCCATTTCCCTCCCCCTTTCCAGCTATAGCAGGCTAATACATATGCTAAGCCCCATGTGTGGGCAGCTACAGCAAGTTGGAACAACAAGGGTAAGCAGGAATGGCAAATACCTTCTCCCATGTAAGTTAAGGGCAGTTGCAAATACTTAGAACATCTGGAAGGAGGAAATAAAAGGAAAGAGGAAAAAATGCAAGATTATGGGTCATAGTGTAGTTCACAAAGATTGACTATCATGTGGAAAGATAGATATTGCATCCACACAACAACCTGATGCTGTTAACAAGCCACGGGTCTCTAATGTCAAAGAAAGTAACCTGATATAGTGAAAAGTATCCCTGTCCATGGCAGGGAGGGTTGGAACTGGATGATCTTTAAGGTCCCTATCAACCCAAATCATTCCATGATTCTATAAAGAATAGGGGGAAAAAATTGAAAAAAATTACACACACACACACATACTCTATTACTACTCTTCATTTTCTGATTTTAGCTTTACCTATGGATCTCAAAGTCATACACAGAAGGTGAATAAACAGCTTTCTCCTGTGAGGGAAACCAGACACACAAAAAGGCAAGTGGTCAAATGAAGTTGTCCAAGTCACTGGACAAGCACACAACCAAGCACAGAACCTAAGATTCCTACCACAAGGTTACTCATTCTTCAGAACACTTTTTCCTGCAGCAGCCAAACGCAGCAAGACTTAGATCAAGAAGTTATTGTGACTGCAAAGAGCTATATTTTCTTCTTATTTAATGACAAGCACCACAGACAGCTGTGGAATACCCAAATGTTTGGAAAGCTTTGAAAATATGCAGATATCAATGCATTTTTAATAAGAGCAACGTTGCAGATGGCAACCTGAGGGCTGATTTTGAATCTTTGATAGAACTTACATAACTACAAAATCAATCATGAAATCCTATAAAATCCCTAGAGAAACCACTGTTGTCTCTTAAATCCACGTGGTTTATTACTTGCATTTCCTTCACGAAATGACAACGTGTTTTTAATTTTGTAGGTGATTATCGTCTTGTCTACTGGCCATAAATATATTAAAATTCTTCTTGCTTTCCAAAGTAGAAGGGAAATAAAGCTGATTAACTGAATACAATGTTTTCATTCTGTCTAGTTTCCAAGATGCAACACACAATAAATGTAAGTAAACACGATTTTGTTAACAACAACTTTGTGAGGATTTACTGTTCATAAATGGAGCCTGGCTAGAGAGACAAAGGATGGAGGACTGCAGTGGTGAAATGCTACAGACCCTTTCTGGATATGTGACTTCAGGGCACAGGCCATTCAAACTTTATTCCTTCTAAAATCACTTAAAAAGCCTCTAAGTAGCTCCTGTCACAGTGGTGGTCAAGTGTGGACCTTCCTCCACCTGCTCTTCTGCAGTGAGTGCACCTTGATTATTGACCTCCACCCTGAACTGAGGTCAGAGCTGATAAGTCAGAGAATAAATCACTAGCTCATTACCTAGCCAGGCCTTTTATATCTGTTTTTAGATAAATGCTCTGATATTACAAGCTATTGTGTTAAACCAATCTGACTTTCAGGCTAGAAAAACAAACAAACAAATTATTTTCTTAGTGTAGAGAAAGAAACATAAAGAACATCCAAATATGTAGGAGATATTACTAGTGGAGTATCCTGCTGACAACTTCTGTGCCTATGTGACTTCTTCACACCAGATGATGTTCAGGCAATCAAAATAAAACTCAAAGGAAGAAAGAAAGGAAGGAAAGAAATGCACACTGATGCCATTAGTATTACAAAGACAATTTTCCATGTCTCATTTCACCAGTTTATGCTACAGATCTTGTTACCTACCATGACAGCAGGTTTCACCTTGTTAAACACAATTGCTCATGTTGAGAGCAGGAAATTGGGCTCACATTTTATGATTTGCCTTTAAAATGTTGAATCTTACATCTGAAAGTAAAACTGTCCAAACGAGCTTGAACTTGATTTCTTTACTGGAGAACAGGTAGCCACATGTAAGCCCAAACAATTCCAACTGAGCAGCTACAGTCCTTGCCTGATAGCTTGATCAGACTCTCAGGAGGAACACAGTCTATACAACACGCAAGACCTGATACTCCAGGTATTAAAGGCATTTTTCAATTACATGATTCAGACGCTGGAAAGGGAGTCTCAATTTACAAGCTTACAGGATAAAATCTACAAACAGAGCTTCATACTCCATTGCAAATTGCAAATTTCAGCATCACTGCTCGCCTTGCTGTAGTGATGGCCAAAGGTACCAAGGGCAGTAAAACAGGCCTCAGTGTTGCTTGGCAACCCACCTCCTTAAACTCACAGAGGGACCTAGGTTCAAGGAAAATAACCAAACAAGGAGTATTTCTCTCCCTTTTGGTGCTCAGTCCAGGTGTCTGCAAGCAAAAGCAATAAAAGGTACTTACTCTCATCAAGCTGCGGATGTTGAACGATGACTTGGAAGAGCAAGCGAAGGATGCCTGGGTTCTGGGCATCCTGATCACAGCCCTGCAGGGACATGTTGAAACTGCCAGCAATATTGGCAGGCTGGCTGTCACTCAGCTTGAACACCTCCGGGTTGCTGGGGGAGCCAGGGATGTAGTACTCTACTCTCTCCTCTTTCCTTTCGCAGTTGGAGAGGCTGTAGTTGTGGAAAAACACACTTGCTCTCATGCTTGAAGGAACCACAAACTGCCACGTCATGAGCTCATCTTCTGGAAAGCCCAGTGGGTAGTTGGGGGACATCAGGGTGATGGAAGACTCCCTCTTCAAAATGGATTCAATTATGCATAACCCTAAAACATGGGGTAGGAGGAAGAAAATATACAAAACAAGTTCCATTTAATGAAGACATACTGACATATCTAGTAGCCCAGAGGCAGAGTATTTTTATTTTTACAGTGAGATCATCCACTTCAGCTACAGGTTAGTTTATTATAAAACCCTCAGACTAAAACATATACTCAAGTTGATTCTTTTGTCTTCAATTCCAGAAAATATAAGGAATAAATTAATGCTGCATTTTCAGTTTAGTGGGTTAACCTTTCGAGCATATGGACAGACAAGCCTTTATTCTTGGGAAAAGAAAGATCCTAGTTCGTACTTCTACTCCGGGCTTTGCAAGAGCAAACATGCCACTTGATAACTGCTTCTGCTCCAACAGGTTTTGGGAAACAGAAGATGTGAGCTTTTATACCAGAATGGAGCAATCTTTCCTAAAACCTCCTGAATCTAACAAAAAGCACACCAACACAGAGCCTCAAAAAGGCGTGATAAAACATGAATATGAACCATGGAGTCCATGTAATACAGTTGGATGACTCTTCCCAGCATGAAGTTGGGTACACAGAGATTATGGTCCTGCTCTAGGACTCCTGGGGTCATGTGCAACTGCAAGGAGTGCCAGGAGTTACAAGAAACTCACGTTCTAGAAGCTCAAACCAGGACCAAGTTCCTTTTATAGCTGATAGCAACAACTGCAGAACTCAAGTATAGAGCAAGAACACCTCCCAAAGAGGATTTGTCATGAGATCACAAAATAACCCACTGATTGGTAAATAATATTTCAGGTATTTTAGGAAGATTATTACCCAATGTTTTGTGTTACTGTGCAGGTTGAAACAGATAACTGTATTTAAGTAGCCTCATATGCCTCCCAGGCACTGCTTCCCCTTTTCCCACATTCCTCTCCTGAAGAAAAGCATTGGTTTGAGGCTCCAGAAGTTAAGAAAGCTATATTTAAAAATAAGCAAGCCCAACTACACACTGCAACCATTAAAAAAACTCCCTTGGCTTATTCGAATTATGCTACCTAGTCTCACTGAGCTGAACACACAAAAACAAGAGAGCAGGTATGTCAAAGTTTTAGGAAATTTAAAGAGATTGGAAATGAATAATCACAGGATTGTGATTATTAGGGTTGGAAGGGACCCCTAGAGATCACCTGGTCCAACTTCCCTGCCAAGGTAGGGTCACCTCGGGCAGGTGACACAGGAACGCATCCAGGTGGGTTTTGAATGTCTCCAGAGAGGGAGACTCCATGACCTCCCTGGGCAGCCTGTCCCAGTGCTCTGCCACCCTCAATGGAAAGAAGTTCTTCCTCATGTTGAAGTGTGACTTACTGTGTTTTAGTTTATGGCCATTGCTCCTCATCCTATCGCTGGGTACCATGGAAAAGAATCTGGCACCCACTGTTGAGACATTTATATGCATTAGTGAGATCCCCTCTCAGTCTTCTTGTCTCTAGACTAAATAGGCCCAGCTCCCGCAGTTTCTCCTCATAAGAAACGCTCCAGTCCCTTAATCTTCTTTGTGGCCTTCCACTGGACACTCTCCAGTGCACCAAAAGGAGCAACAGAACAGTCTTCATAATTATTAATTGACCAAACAAAGATATTTTGACTCCAGAAGAGCACCAGCTTACCAAACTAAAAATTATACAACAATAGTTTCCAGAAAAGATGAAGTGGAAGGGAGTTAGGGACAGCAGCACCAAAACTAGAAGGTTAGCTGAGAAGAAAGGTTTAAATAATTCAATTACAGTACTCCATACTTACTTTTTATGGAAGTCCTGTTAGCTATGCTGAAGCCTGAGGTGGTGAGGGGCGAGTCCCATGGGAGGTGCAGAGACATGACAACTCCTCCCAGCAACTTGACACGAGACACTGAGCCATTCCTGCAGAAGGTGCCAATGTTGACCACGGCGTTATCAATACAGCTGTTGATGTTGTAGCTAATGAAATCTGAGCACGTCTCTCCTGGTTCAATCTGCCTTAGCCACGGGGCAGAAAATTTTAGTTCGAGTCCAGCTTTTGTACTTGCCTTCACATCCCAGATATAAGTCCTGTTAAGGCGGGGCAGCTGCATTGGGTAAAGATAAACATCTCCAAAGGGACATGGGCCTGACACACAGTCTAAATGGAGAGAAGGAACAGCCATAATACACTCTGGAAACCATTCAAGTAAACAAGGAATTTGACACTTCTTCCTTGCTATTTTCACAATTTTTAGGTTGCACTTAACTTTTCTTCTACTGCACTAAAAGGCACTCCTGTAACACGGTCACATGTTGTCTCTAAACAGGTCTCCCATAGAACAGACAGGATAAACCTGCTTTAGTTGGGCTGACTACCAGAAGGGTTTCATTGTCTCAAGTATTCTGCCTTGTTTGCTGAAGAATTTAGAAGGTATTTAGTGAATAGGGTAGAGTCTGAATGGGCAAAAGACAGAAACACAGTGTAAATAGAGCTGGAAATCACAGACCTAGAGAATCCATTTTATCCCACCTCTCTCAGAGAATTCCTGTCAAATCATTCATTGCTAAATTTTCTACTGTTTGCAATAAACTGTATTTCTGTTTCCTTGGTGCCCAGATGAACAACAAAAGCAACTACCCCAGGATTCTGGGGAGAACCTAGAGAACTTTAATCTGAAGAATCCTAATGATTGATTGACACTCAAAATAAGCATACTTTAATCTACGTCTAAGCTCCAACTTAAAAGAAGAAATATCACAAGTGTATCTTGCAAATATATCATGAGATATTGTGAGCATTACTATTTGCATGAATCATATGAATAAAATTCCAAAACACAAACAGAATTATCCTTGAACACTATCCCAAAAATAATGATGTCACTAAAGACTGAATGGCCAACGAAGTTTGGGATCTAGTTGTGAAGTTGCATGTGTTCATGACATTAAAGAGTACATACACCAGGGATAACATTCAAAGTAAATGAAGCTTTAGCTACACTTCCAAATTTTCAGTTTCTTGTCTTCAGTGACATTCATCAAATATAAAGAAACATCTGCATGTCTTCAATGTTTCTGTTGTCCTTATAGATACACTCAAGCTGTTCATCAAATACATAATATATTACTGTAAGTGTTCAGAGGCTTTTGCCACGGGAAAAAAAAAAAAGATTCTTCGATGGGTTTGTAAATTGTGGGAAAAAGAAAAGGCAGAAAGGAATTGGCACAACAAACTACCATTTAACTGCTTCCAACACAGCCAAGTTAACATTAATTCTGCCAGCTGCAATACAGACTTCTTTAACTTGCATAGTTTCAGTAATTCAAGGTTATTTATCAGTGCTAAAAGATTTCTTCTTACCTAACATTAGGTGGATATCTTAATACAGTAACCAGAAAGAAGGGTATGTGGTTTTACTGGAGGAAAATTACCACTGGGGGAAGATTAAAAAAAAAATCTGTATCTTACCAATATTTTTCTGAATTTCCATGACGAAATACTTCTCTGGAGTACTACAAGTGAAGGTAAAAGTCACATTCTCCCCAGGCTTTAAGATGAGTTCAGACCTGATGACACTTCTAATGTGCATTTTACAGCTTGATGAAACACCAGGTTTCAGTTTAATTGTAACTGTGGTGTTGTCCACTTTACGAAGAGAGATTGCAAAGGAAGCTAAGAAAGAAAAAAAACAGATATCAGAGGTGTTTTTTTACTATGAGGATCACCAGCCTTTCCCCACATCACCACAGATGCCACAGTGTCCAAAGGAATATTAGCATCCACATTTTCAGGAGTCTCTAGTGTTGTACCAATAGAAAATGCCTTGGCTCTGTCAGCACAGACAACATAGAAATATGCTTGCTGTATGTGCCTAAGAGAGGTATACAGGGAATTTGTGCAGAACCAGTTCTGCTCCAATTTACACTTCCTAGTGTAATTTACTTCACACTTAAAAGGAGCTCAGCTATTCCTTTCAAATTTTTGTTCTCCTGACTTTGGCTTTCAGTCTTTTATCACACAGCCTCCTTAATTTCTGAAGGTGCCCATCAAGTCATGACTCAGTTTAGGAAGTTTACTCAGTAGCAAACAACAAAACAAGGTTCAACTTCAATCACACACAATGAATCTCTGGGTACACATCAACAACTACTGCAGCCCAAATGAGGTATTCCAGTGATACCAAAAGGACATACCAACAGACATTTATACCCGCGGTCATGGCTCTCTCTCTTTTAAAAATATATACCCAATACAAGACACCAAGGAGCACTGACTGGACATTCAAGATGACCAGAAAAGTTATTAGCATCAGTTGGATGCTTAGTAAAGATATAACCCAGCCTTGGCTGAAGCAAGTAAAGTTTGCATTGAAGTCAACCATATCCCAGCCACAGGTGAAAATCTGAGGACAGGTCAGTCGATCAGTTTTCTACAACTTGTTTCAACTGCTCCCCCTTCCTTATTTCAGTGTCTGTAAGATACAATCATAGTGTCTACAGCACTTGTGCTTCTAGTGTATATATAAAAAAATGTACATAAAAAATAAGAGATCTAGAAATAAGGTTACTCCAAGTTCTGTTTAAAAACATCTGTTCCTCGAGTGGGACATCACACAGGGCTGCATGACAAAGCTCTGCCCATATGCCAGGTTGGGAATCCTCTTGCTTGTTAACCCCAAGAAAGAGAGATTTACCCTGGCAAAATTAGCAGTGCAGTACCCCGAGGGAGCCTCTGAAGCCATTCCCATTGCCAGGCAGCATGCCAGGAAGGTGTAGGAGAACAACTGGGTCACAAAATCACACCTGCAAGATGCCCCAGGCTCTGCCCAACTGTTCACCATCCCTTGAGCACCAGCACAGTCCATGCCAGCTGCTACTGACACAGCAGTGGTAAGGAGGCTGGCCAAAGCCCAGAGACCCGGGGACTCACTTGGTGAGGGTTGTGGGGAGGGAGGCTGAGCACACCATGGGAATCCTTGATCAGCAGAGCCCTCTCATGGCAGATGAGCACGCCAGAAACTCTCAACAAACATGCCCACTCAACTCAGAACTTTAGCCATTGAAGCTGCAGAGAGAAGCTTATTGCATTAGTGACTCCATTTCACACAAAACCCACCTGTTCTATTTAAGAGAGGTTTAAAAACTCTCCTGATTTTTACAGCATTCTCACGTTTCTCCAGGGCCTGACTTTTACTGCAATGTTTGGCAAAAGTCCTGAGGATTTATCAGGGGCTATCGTCCCTCCCTGCCACTGGGAACGTTGCAGCTCCAGGTTTGTCAACATCAGGTACCAAAAATCTCATGGCTAAAGAGAATAGGGCAGAATAGAGTATTCAAAGAGGCACTCCATCAAGCTTTTATTTGAGTTTTGTTGGTCTTGAGCCTTTTTGCAGCCTTTCTAGCTTGGAATTAAAAGATTCAGCAAGCCCTTGAAACTGCCTTACCTATTTGCCTCCAGGATCAAAGGCTTTAAATGAAAACCTCAAACAGCACGAGGCTTGCCAAATTGCTGCACATACTTTTAACCTCAAGTTTACCAATGCTCTAAAACCATTAGTGAGAACCTGGTCACTGAGTAACTTTCTTACAGCTTTTAGGTGACAGGACAGTATTCTAACCCGAGAGCCTACACTGAATTCTCCTGCCTCTTCCAAATGCCAGCACACTTTACATCTGGGTTTTTGCCTTAGAAATGTTTTTGCAGAGGTTTTCAATCTGGGTTTCCTGAGGAAAAAAGACGACGGTATAGTCGTCCTTCCAAGTACACAGGGGACAATTGCAGGGGCAATGTCCATGGGGTGGGGAAAAGAAGAGAGTAAAGCCAAGCAAGCAACCAGTGTTGCTCTTCCTCATTCTTCAGGAGGAAGCAGTCTTCAGAAGACAAAGTGAAACTACTTCCAACCTAGCCCGCAGTTTTGTTTCCCATAACACTGCACGTTTTTGGGGGTTATTTGGGGTTTTTATTTACCACACTTAGTGCACAGAATACCTTTTTACTAAGATGGTCACCATTTTTCTGATGTTTAAGTCACCCTGATATGAAGTGTTAATAGCATAATTAATAATAATTAATTATTACAGTAATTAATAATTACAGACAACAGAGGCTTCTTTCTTGCATAGGATAACTGTCATACTCATCTACAGTTTATAAGTATTACTAAAAAGTCTGTTTCTAATTTCCTGGTCAAACAGTTATCACTATTCCTCTTCTCATCCATGGGACAGCACAGCCATACAACCAACTTGGGAGGACAGAGAAACACACCAGGACCACTAACAGCCAGCACTTCTGCACCACATGCTGGTGCCTGGCTCTGATTTTTAGTCATGAGGATTAAGTATAAGCATAACCTTAAACATATGACTAGTTTTAAAACAGAACAAATACACACTCTGACCTGAAATAAGGAGTAGGAATTTTTAACATTTTGAAATAAGCAAAGCCTGCTTACAAGGGTCAAAACAAAGTATCCCCAGCCCTTGAAAGACCCAAATTCTGCTGCCTGGACTTTTTTTACCTCCTTCCCTCTCCTCTTGCTGACTTCATGACCATATAATCATTCTCCATTTGATCCCTCTGCAAGAATATAAAATATTTGTCAGCTCAGGATCACTTTCCAGCATGGATGTGACCCATGCCTCAGCTTTCCTAAACAGGACCTGAGCAAAATCACAGAAGTTTTGCAATGAACAATATATCATCATCCCAAGAGGCAACAAGGATCAGATCTCTACCAAATTAGGTTCAGCAAAGCTGTCTGCTAGAAGCCCACATGAAGACATACACATTATTGCATAAACAAACAGCTTCCCCAGATGAAACTGATAATTTTGGCCAAGAAATGAGTGTAGTGCTGTAATGTCAACAGCAGCCAGCTAGGGATGTGCTGAGATACATTAGACTATCAAATCTAATTTTCATAGGAAAAATAGAAGAATCATGCAGAAATTATATCCAGTGATCCCAAAGTCACTAAAAATAAATGAACAAATGGCTAAAACCCCCAAACTACAGCCACACACAAGCAGCACAACAGAGAGACTACGTAAAGAGCATCTCTGTTGGAGAGCTTTTATGAACACAAGTGAGTCTCCTCATGACTCACACTAATCTGTCTTTGTCTATGATTCCCACTGCATGCCTTTTTATTAGGATTACTGGTAACTGGACATGTTTCTTCAAAAGAAGCAATTTCCACACCTCATTGCTGCTGCACAGGGATGACACACAGGATATCCAAACCAACAAGATGAAGCATTGCCAAGATGGATCTCATCTTTGTCTACACAACAATGGAATTGTTGGGCTAGAAGATGTCAGAGATGAAGCCTCCAACCCCAAGCTGGTTCACAGGCTGATGCAGACAGCTGATCTCACCCTATTTTTCTTTTCCTCTAAGCAATTACAGTTTTGTAGCCTGCATTGGATATTTCTTCAAATGCCCTAATCTCAATCTGCACCCTCCCTGCCACAGATGGATTTTTCTATTGCTCATGCTCATTTAAGAATGCACCTTCACAACAGCTGCATCATTACAGCATCCCTTTATCACTAGAGTAATGCCCCTCTCCACACAAACACAGCTCGGCTAGCTTTTCTTCAACAGTATCATATTTCCAAACTTTTCATCAATGTTATTGCTCAGAGCTCTCCCACTGGGGTTAGAAACAAACTACATAGTGTAAAACAAGTTGGATTACTCCAAGGAGTTTAGCCCAAATTTATCTACTGTGTTTGCACCTGACACTAATCTTATAGTACTTTTAATATGTATAGATAAATGTCAAAAGGACGTTTTTCCTTTACAAGACAGGGGTGCAATGTAGAAGACAGCTGGCGAGTAGTCAAGCCAGTGGCACTCACAGAGAGTGTGCATAAGTATGTACAATCAAAGGACTTGGCAGAACAGAAGTTTTTATGGCTATGTGCAGTGCCTTGCTAAACAAAGCAGGAGCTAGAACAGAGTCCAACTAGTTTTAGCTAGACAGCTGCATTTCATTGCAGTAATTTATCCATAAGCATCTATGGATGGATTAAAACAATCAAAAAAATCCCAGACAGACCAAGAAAACAAAACCAGAGTCACCAACAACAAAATCCCAGATATTAATTTAGCCCAAAATTTTGTACAAAACCTCTTGGTTTTCTCATTCTGGTTAAATCACAGCCTTGCTCCACTACAGCCATTTTTAATAAAAACCAAGTGGATGGGGCTGACTCAGATACCACTGATGAGCTGGCAGCAGCTGGAGGAGACAGGCTGCTGTGGAAGACTAGTAGCGGCAACACTCGCTCCGGATATGAAATACCTGTATCCAAACCCTGGTTCTGCCTGAAGGGGATCTGAACCCATAAAACCAACACACCTCTCCAGAGAACATTGCAGCACATTGTGCCACGACCTCGGGACAAGGATAGCATTGGGATGTTGTTAGCCTCTACAGCTTGGAAGGCTCTCCTGGAAAGTTCACCGCCTCTTCTGAGCCCCTTCAGGGATGCTGACCTGCAGGCACACTCATAACCTGCTGAGGTTATTCCACTACACATAAGCTACTGCAAGAGTCACTGCAAGATGGTGGCAAGCAAGGGGTGCAACTCAGTAGCACAGTAACCCAGCCATAATCTGAATTATTTCAGGTCCAAACCAAACCAACTCCTCTCCCTGATCTATTGGATAGCATCAGATCAAGAGACAGCAGCATCAGCAAGACACAAGCAGAACAATCCATCCAAAACACCCTTCTCCTAGCTAAGCGACCTCAAGGCTATGATGGGGATCACTGGCTCAAGTTCCCACATCCTGAACAAACACCCCAATGGCTCAGCTAAGATACCTACAAACAGCTGCGCCTGACCACCTATTTCTGCATCATCTCCAACACAATTCCCTGCACAGTTCACTCAGATTTGCCAACAACACACCAAATAATATTTAAAAGAGTACACATCTCCCTGCTTTGCCAACTCAATCATGTTGTACCTGTCTTATTGACTTCTTTGACAATCCAAGTCCAACTCTCCAGTTAACTGCAGCACCCAGATGCCCAAGCACCATCCACTTCTCCAATCTCACCTGCAGTGTCTATCCAGCTAAGGGCAAAGTTAGTCAGGGATCCATACACTGCTTGGACTCCTCTAACCTACTGAACAGTGCTGAGAGCAGCAAATGAAAGATCACAAGCATCATCAAAAATTACAGCCAACCCTTCTTGCTGCAAGCTGCTGAAATCCTGTTTGACTTTACAAAGTGACCAGGTTTTCTGTTTACATTTAAAGTGTGAACTAACCAGTCTCTCCACTGCAGGATGATCTCCTTATATTTGGACCTGTCTTCCAACATCACGCTTGTTTAGGATATGAGGTCCATATTTTGTGAAAGGGTTGCTTTCAGGGAATCACACAGAAAATTAAAGCAATAAAATCTGCAAAGCTTGTAAACTCCTACCAACAGATGCTGCCAATTGCTACTGTGCCATGGTAACCACCCACATTTCAGGAGAGGGCACTTGGGAGAGAATACCCATTCCTCAGACATCAGAGTATAGCCCCCTAATCTTCACTGATTATTTAAACTGACAAGACAAGATGGGACACAAAGGAGGTGAGATGTCACACATTCCCCTCCTCATCAGGGAGGAAGGGTGGACACTTCTGGCATAGTGATGTTACAAGCCATTCCATCACAATTCACCAGAAAAGATCTGTTAGCACCCCAGGCCAACAAGGTTGCTCATTCAAAAGTTAATTCATTAATTTGTAATGCCTAACAGGAATAAAGTACCTATAGATTTAAAATAACAACAACAAAAAAAAGGCCTATTTCTACCCCTTTCTCTAGAAGAAAGATAACTTGGAAGATAATTAAGACACTCAGATGACTTGTGAAAAAGAGATTTTTTTAAAAGAAACTTTGATTTTCACCAAAAGTGGGAAAGAGAGACACTTTGTGATTTGGCAAGCTTAGCTGTAATTATGTAAAGGAAAATGTTGTCTCTGAGCTGCCCTTTCTTAATTATTATTTTACAGATATGAAGTTTTGTTGCTTCTGTAGAAGTGAGACACAGATCTGAGTGAACACTGTCTGCAAGCTGACCACTAGCTCACATACAACACACAAAATGTACGACATGTGAGTCTGTACAGCTTCGGAGAAAATGTCACACTAGCTCAAGGAACGCTGATACCACACAAGTCACTGCAGGAGCCTCCCTTGATCAAAGGGTGTTGCTTGCACAGTTTATTCCTACCTTGATGTAAGCCAGCAAGAGGACATCTTGGAGCATGTCTGAGCAGCTCTTCGGTCTTGGCTCTGGTTAACAAAGGAGTAAAAGCACATTTCACAATCGGGGTCCCTCCCACACCAAACATCCTGCTGCCAGTCTCTCACTTCTGAGGAACTTCAGATCATCCCTTTTCACTCCTCAAAGTTTGCTCTCTCTCAGCTCTGCCCAGGGACCCAGAAAAGCCAGGGCCAACTCCAAAATGTCAGCATTATCATACCTCTCAAAATAAGAGTTTGCTCTGACATCAAATAACCACACTCACTTTGCTCCCCAAGAAATCAAAAGGCACAGCTCGAGGCAGGCTGTCCCATGGTATTCTTGTGAATGGTTGTTAAAAGGTATCCAATAGAACAGGCAAAGTTGAGACTTTTTCCCCTGTTACAGGAGATCGATTAAAAAAATAATCACCCTCCTTGCAGTATTGGCAGCCTGGGCACTCAGAAGCAGACTAGATCTTACTAGCATACATGAAATGCATGTCTCCTAAACACTATGGCACAATTCTTCAGCTGTCTCTTCCTGAAGGTCTTCCAGGACATCCCACCAATCCTGTCCACACTAGGCAGGTTCAGCTGCAGGCAGCAAACCCTCACCTCCTGCCACCAGCCCATACAGAAATACAAGATTTTGCCCTGACGTAACAGCCAGCAGCCAACAATGTACTGAGCACAGCCCAGCCCACATCCTTTCCTTCATACCCTGCTGGCACAGGCAGACGCGAAGCAAGAAGAAACTGTATGGTCACACCTCCAAGAAATTAGAGAAGTTTTCAAGTCAAGGGATGGTGACACGGCTCTATCAGCCAAATACTACCAAGAGAGCACCAAAAGTCACCAGCTGCCTTAGAGGTTAATGGTTTGGTTCCAACAAACCGACTGTGCTGAGCAAGTGTGTCCTCCGCTCCAGAGCTGAGGTTTGACAGGGATACTCAGGCAGCATCAGGGAGTTGAATAATGTCCCAGAAACTGCTGGAAGTGCTTCGTTAAGGTGACACCTTTACCCTTTCCCCCAGGTGGGCAAAGGTTTATAAATTATAGAAATTATTAAAGGTGCAGATTTGTAAAAAGATTTTAACAGAAATTTACAATATTAAGCCAAAAAGAACCCATTTAGATCAAAACTGGCATCCAAGGCCCATTTTCCCCATATCCTCTGGCCTAACACATGCTTTGCTGCAGCTGAGTCTTTCTAGGAGCTCTCGTGTGGAGACCAAGGCCAAAAAACATCCAAAGGGAGAGCTCAGAAGACATCCAGATGAGAGCAGGAGGAAGGAGGACCTTGCTGCAGTAAGAAAACTACTGGCCAGCTCAGTTCAGGGGTACAGCCCGCTCATGACAGTGATGAGCAACACTCAGCTTCCCCCTCACAGCTCCAGCAATAACCCAGCACCACCAGCAACTCCGCACCAGCCACAACACAGAGGGGTACACAACCCCACACACGTTCACTGCTCCCGTGTTGCATTCATCTATCGCTGCCCAGAACCCAAAGAAGGTCATGTTTTGCTATCAGCAATTACAAAAAACGAATGAGAAAGTAATCAATACAGGGAAACTGATGAAGAAGGAAAAGGGTTACTCACCCTTCGCCTACAGTAATTTGCAAACTAATTTGCAAACACACCATATGCCTGTCACCCATAGCTGTAGCAGTCAACACGGGGAAAGTCAAAAGTGTCTTGACTTTGTTCTCAGCAAACGATGGTTTCTCATTCTATTTCAAATATTAAAAAAACATTTCTGGAACAAGTAAGTGCAAAGTTGTTCCACCTCTGGCTAAGACTGAGGTGAGGGTTTGGCAGCTGTGGAGCCCAAAGCTTTTTTATTTAACATATGCCTGTATAAATAACAATTAAGCTGGGTGATAAGGGCTATACCAATAAACCAAGCCCCAGCAATATTTATTTGTGAAAACACTGCTGCTGCTACATATTTCAAAAAGTAAAAACTTTTTTCCCAGTAGTTTTCCTCCTACTTTCTTTTCCATTTCAATATTATTTAAAGATAATTCATATAAGCAATTAACAAGCCTAAGCACAACTGACCCAAATGATACCCGATACCAGGTAGGGGAAAGGTCCTTCCTTTATTTCATAAAGCCTGATTTCTGTCTAGAAACTCTTGTTACAGTGTAGGAATACAGAGAAGTTGTAATAAAAATGAGAGGAGGACAATCTTCTAGCCAACAAATAATTAATTTTCTCCATGTCACAGGTCCATGGTGGTACTCTGAATATGAGCTTCAGCAGCCTCCAATACTTCCACCTTGTTTCTCCCTTGGCCAGTCCTCTGCCTTGAGCCAATGCCAAAAAATGAACTTTTTCAGCCTACTTTCCTTTAATTATTTTTTGGCTGATGAGCCACCGCAGCACATCAAATGACAACCCCAGGCACAAAAAAGACGCCAGCTAGCTAAGGAGCCAGGCTCAGGAGCCGGCTCACCACATCAGGCTTCTTCTCTCTCGGGCCACTTCCCAGCCAAATGGCTGCTATTTGTCAGTATTTTCAGTTTTGCGCACGAGTAACCCCATGACCAAGAGTACAGCTGTTGGAGAAACTTCATTCACATCCGACTCCAGAGAGCACAACCTTACTGAGGATCTCTAGTGGAGGCACTCAAACTGGTGGTCACTTGTGTTGCCGTGGACAACAAGGTCAGCTCAATGTATTAATCCTCAAATATTTTCATGTTCCCACCACCTCACATATCGACTTGGGCCTCCATATTACCTCTACATCCCTTCAGACTTACAGATGAACAAAAAATACACAAAGACAAGGTTCACCTGTTAAAAACAAACAACTCAAACCCACAAAAAAACCCTGGAATTAAGAAAAAAAAATTAAGGGTATTTTCTGGTGGAGAGTTTAAGGTAGTAGCACCAGAACTGAGACAGACTACAAACTAGTAGTTTACTATAAACACATTATTTTCTAGAGAGTAAAAACTAAGCACTCCAGACTGAAAATGGCAGGAGGTAAGCAATAAAGAAGTTACTAACGCACATTGGCTGTGGTCTTAAAAGAAAAGGTCTCAATCAAATGAGCAAACAATGATTCAGAATGGAAATGATCCAGCTTCCACTGACTTTCAGAGGAGAACAAACAGGCTGGTTATTTATATTCTGTCAGAACAGCAAAAAGACCCTGCTAACAGCTTGGGTTTTTTTTATTTTATTAAAGGAAGCAGCTTTACATATTAAGACTGACACATGACTCAAATCAGTCGGTTGCCAAGAAAAAGTTAACTGGAGGGTACAAAGAGAGTCAACATAGCACTATCTATAAATTCACTTATTATAACAATGATATTTTAAAGACAAAGCCCAAAACATATATGCAGATTTTATCACATTTATAAGGACACTTTAAATCTGAAATATTTGTGTTTCACAGACAGAATAAAAAGTCTGATTAACTTTATTATTACTGCTTCAGAGAAACATCTTTTTAGTTGGAAAACACATTTTCAAAGGTCAGATATGCAATACTTCATTCACGCTCCCATGTCTACGCACAGCTATCACACCAAATACTTCTTTCTGTAGTTTTCCAGCTATAAGTTAACCAATCTTTCATTTGATAATTTACATTATGCATGAAGTTGCATTTCAAGAAAACCTAAAAGCTCCTCTGAATAAAATGTGACCAGCCACACTTGACCCACACGTTCCTACAGGATGGTAAGAAGACCACTGTAATACTGTACCTACTAGGAAGTGGTGGAGGCAGACAGTGAGAGAAGAACGAACTTCACCAAGGATGACAAGAGACAGCTTTAGAGCTCACCAAAATTTGTAGCTGTCTCGCTAGAGCATCATCACTCTCCAAGAAGAGGCTCATGTGCCTCATACACAGCCCATGTGCACACCCAGCCTAAAGCTGGCCTTGCTAAAAGAGAGGTAGCTGCAACTTGCAGCCAAAACACAGCAACAGCAGAGCCAGTACCAACATCAGCACCAAGGGCAAAGGGAACTCCTTAAAAATTACAGACTACGTGGGGGTGTGGGGAAAAATCTTAACCTGAGCTATCTTGGGCTTTCAGGACAAACCTTTGCTCAGGGAAGTGTCCCAACTACAGTTTTGGTTGTGCAATAACAAAAGCAGCTCCCACTGGAATGAAGGACACCTCTAGGCATGTGAGATCTGCCAACAAAGCTGGGAAGACACCAATCCCGCTCACACCACAGCAACCTTCAGCTTGCCAACCCATGCAGCATTGCCAATTAATGCAGCTAAGACTGAGCCACCTCTTTTTGGAGGGACTGGGAATTCACGAAGAGGAGGAAGGCACCAAGTTAGAGACTTGCAGAGGATGACAGAGGACCTGGCACACAGGAGCAGTGGTGCTTGTGCAGGAGACAGACCACAGGCAGAAGCATGCAGTAGGAAAGGAAGGGACTGAAGGAGGTAGGAAGAGGGGCCATCATCAGTGGCAGCAAACCACTGGGTCTATCAGTGATGTTTTGCGCAATTTCACTGTTAATAACTTTGCTTCACAGAGCAACTTCGGGGTTTGCCTGAGGGCAACGTCAGTGGCTGGGGAGCTCTTGCTCTCTGGTTCCTCCAGATTAAGCTAAGATCATGGGAAAGTCTATCTCCTCTGCTTCTAGTGCTGACCCATCTTAAGTTTTAAACATTTGTTTTCTCTGGAAACAAAACACAATTAAACACTGCACAATATTCTTTCTTTTTCCTTTAGAGAGGCAAATAGATGTCATTCACTCAATGCAGAGGCAATATATTAAATGCAAATATTTTATTTAAAAGACTACGCAGCTTGAAACTTAAACCTTGGGGCTGTCCAATTTCACAGTCAACATTTAGACTGTATTGTCTATAATAAGAATGGCATGATCCCCACTTCAGAAGAACCAGAGCAGTTAAAGGTAATAGAAATGTTAAAAAGGCACAAATTTCATATCAGACTCTCAGTTATTCATAGTAACTGCAAGTGACACCAGCTATTCTGTACAGAAGGACTCATACTTCAGGAGCCTTTAACAGGACTACTGATAGCAATAAAACAGACTGTTTAGACTTGAGGATGGGCATTTTTTGCAATCAAGCAGTTTTGGAAATTGAGGAAAACCCCACACACTATCCCTGTGTTTATAACTGGAATTCTTCTGCGGTCGCAGACAGGATTTAAGAAAATTATGCATGGTTTAGATACATGGGATTGCACCAAGCATCCAGGAATTTCAAGAGATGCAGAGCTAGTAGTGAGCAGCAGCCCCCATCAAACTATCTGACCCGGCTGGGCATACAAACCATTCTGTTTCCGTGCTTCCGCAGTTCATCCATTGCTCTATATAAATAATATTATCTTTGCTGAAAAGTTCACATGACTGCACGGTCCGACACAGAACACGGTCCTGAGAGCTTCTCCTCCCTACAGAGAATTCAGCTGCCCCTCTGGCGTCCAGGAAAAAGGACTTTGTGAAGTTATTTGCATAACCAATACTCCAGCAAGCAAGGATGTAAAGATCAAATCATTTATCTGGACAGTACTTTCACAGAGAAAGAAAAAGAACGTTCAGACGATGGGTGCTGAAACTGAACCCTAACCCTATCCCCGCTCCCACCCGCGTCCCCTTTAAACAACTAATAGTTATTTAATCAGTAGCAGCACACGGGGATAAAGGCAGAGTGATCGGTCTCTCGCCTACGCTGGGGCCAAGAAAAGTGAGGTCGGGCTCAGCCGCACACCGGGCGGGTCCCATCGGGCGTGCAGGGGGTTGCGGGGAGCCAAGGGTCGGGGTGATGGGGGGCCGAGCCAGGGAAGGCGGAGGGGAGCTGACCCGAGGGTGGGGTGATGGGGAGCCGAGCCGGGGCTGGGGGGTGCCGCCCCATCCCTGTCCCTGTCCCTGTCCCCGTCCCTACCTTGCGGCGGGAGCAGCTGCGCCGAGGCGGCCAGGAGGCGGCCAGGAGCGCGGCCAGCGCCTGGCCCGCCGCCATCTCCCGCATGGACCCGCGCCGAGGCGGGCGCGGGTCCCCTCCGGCACCGCCGCCGCCCGCTTCCTGCTCCACCTCGCCACCTGGAGGGGCGGGGCGGGCTGGGGCAGGTGAAAATCCCTCCTCTTCCCCCCGGGCGGCAGCGCTGGCTCGTCCCGGCCGCGGGCGCTGCCTCCGCCCCGGCGCAGCGGGGTGGAGCCGGCTGGGCGGGAGTGCCGAGGGTGCGGGTCGTTGTCGGAGAGGTGTTATTCCTGCTGTGACACCTTGCTCTAAGCGCTTTTCCCTGCCCGTTCCCGGCATCATTAACGCTTACCGAAAGGCTTTCGACTTGTTGGTCACCAAGCTCCCCTCGCCCCCTCGATGAGTGCCCGGATTGTTACCGATGTTACCGGGTACAGCGCCCCTTGCCTGCCGAAGCATCTCTGAACTTCAGTACTTAAAGGCAGCTTAAAGATGGGGACAGACTTTTTGGTAGGGCTTGTAATAATGGGACAAGGGGTAATGGCTTTAAACCACTAAGGCAGGTTCAGACTAGATATAAGAAACAGATAGGAGTGTGGTGAAACACTGGCACAGGCTGCCCAGAGAGGTGGTAGATAGCCCATTCCTGAGAACATTCACGGTCAGGTTGGTCGAGGCTCAAAGCAACCTGATCTATTCAAAGATGTCCCTGCTCATTGCAGGGGGGTTGAGCTAGATGACCTTAAAAAGGTCTCTTCCAATCCAAACTATTCTATGTTTGGAAGTGCCACAGAAGTAGGTTCCTCCTAGTAAACAGCAGTTTGTATCCTGTTTATTTAATGTCTGGGGACTTTGCAAGGGAAAATTCTGAGTAGAAACCACCATGACACAGTCAGGAGTAGATGTTTGCCCAATGAGTAAATACCTTACTAACGTCAGACAGCTCATCATCTTCTAATCCCATGCAGTTGCTTTGGAGCATTTGTTTCTTTGGCAATACCATTACAAAACTCCAGTACATTTATACTAGCCCACAACAGCACCTGGTTATTGCAGAAATGTGCACAGGCATATTCGTGTTCAAAGAAGGAGAAAAGTCAAAATAATATTAGAAGTTCAAGGGATTTTACAGATTTGAGACCAAGCTTTGAAGAAGACTGAAGACTCTGCTCTTGCTGGTTTGAGCTGGCAGTGAGGATACTCAGCACTCCTGGGAGATCTTTACATCTCTTCTATAAATAAATCTATTGTACAATGTCTTCTGCACTGTACATCTTTTTACTCATCTTAACAAAGAATATGCAAAAAAAACCAGTCTTTAAAAAAGGACAGTATTAATGAGAAAGTAATTAATCGGTTATATGACTGCAGAGAAATGAATGGCTTTCAGTTTTACAGTTATATGAGGAGGAACAGAAAGATTTTTAAGGACTCAAATCAGATTTGATGCCACTTCATTAGTCTAAGGAAATAGGTGAGAGCTAGAGTTTTTATTTTCTCCTACTGGAGAAATAGGAAGGCTTTTATTTTATGTTAATTGCATCTTATCAGATTTCACATTGTCATAAAGTTCAGTACTTTCCCACGGAAAGTAAATCTTATGTCAAATTTATATTACCTTACAGTTCTTTTTTTTTTTTTTTCATGTCAAAACAGGGGAAAAACATATTAGACTTCCTAAAATGCATGTGGGTTCATGTCCATTATAATTCTTAACACTATTCTATGATTTGTCATTCTGATGTAGGAACACAGAACCAGAAATCACCCACTGTCTGGCTGCTATTACGTTCTCCACGGTCGTCTCTCTGGTCGCCAGAATTTCCAAACAAGAATACAATCATCTAATGTCTTTGTAAGCTCTATAAACATTTTCTGGTCAGGCTAATATCATCTCTGTGAGACAGCTAAGTTCAGTTCCCTCTGATTTGGAGATTATGTGCTGAGAGACAGTCTGTATGACTTTCCTGGTGTGATAAGAGAGTAAGTGATCCTCCGTGGGGTTCAGAGGGCTGTGTAGTGATGGCCTGGCTACTTATGGGAGTCACTTCCTAGTAGATTTGGACATCTACTGTTGCATAAACAGTGTAGAAAGCTGGATTAAGATATGAAAATATTTGGCATGGGAAAACATGCAGAAACAACCACTTGAAGTCAAAAAACTTCGACTGTCTGTACACATAATTTTATGGGGGAAAAATCACGAACACGAAGTGATGGCACTTTCCATTGACTTCATTTAGGCTTGCACAGCTAATGTACTCCCTTACAGTGGCAGCAATCCTGGTTGCTGTTGCTGATCAGCTACAGTGAAGTAGTCAACCTCCATCAACACATTTTGTCTAGACATACCAGGATGCTATAGGGGGGGTGGCAGAGCTAAAGAGTTGTTCCATGTGTTGGTAGGTTGACTGTGGCTGAATGCCAGAGGCCCACAAAAGCCACTCTGTCACTGCCCTCCTCAACTGGGCAGAGGAGAGAAAAATATAGTGAAAGACAAAACAGACTTGACTTGGGGAAATTAGTTTATTTTATTACCAATCAAATCAGAGTAGAATTATGAGAAATAAACTCAAATCTTAAAAACACCTTCACCCCATCCCTCCCTTCTTCCCAGGCTCAACTTCACTCCCAGTTTTCTCTGCCTTCTTCCCCCTTGAGTGGTGTAGAGGGATGGGGAGTGAGCGTTGCATCACATGTTTCTGCTGCTCCTTCCTCATCATGCTCTTCCTCTGCTTCAGCACGGGGTGCCTCCCCTGTGAGACAGTTCTCCACAAACTTCTCCAACATGAATCCCTCCCACTGGCTGCAGTTCTTCATGAACTGCTCCAGCATGGGTTCCTTCCGCGGGGTGTAGTCCTTCTGGAACAGACTGCTGCCTGGTGTGGTTCCCCTGCGGGATCACAAGTTCTGCCAGCAAACCTTATACAGCATGAGCTCCTCTCTCCATGGATCCACAGGTCCTGCCAGGAGCGTGCTCCAGCATGGGCTTCCCACAGGTCGTCTCCTTCAGGCACATCCACCTGCTCCAGCATGGGTCCCTCCATGGGCTGCAGGTGAATAATCTGCTCCACCATGGACCTCCATGGGCTGCAGGGGGGCTGCCTGCTTCACCACGGTCTTCACCACAGGCTGCAGGGTAACCTCTGCTCTGGGACCTGGAGCACCTCCTTCCCCTCCTTTTCCACTGACCTTGGTGTCTGCAGAGCTGTTTCTTTCGTATATTCTCACTCCTTTCTCTGCTGCTGTTCTGTGAGTTGTTTTTCTTTCCCACTTCTTTTCTATAGTATCCCAGAGGTGCTACCACTGTCACTGAACATCTCAGCCTTGGCCAGCAGTGGGTCTATCTTGGAGCTGGCTGGCATTGGCTTCTAGCAGCTTCTCAGAGAAGCCATCCCTGCTACCAAATCCTTGCCATACAAGTCCAAGTGTGGAGTACGGTTCAAATGGAGGTATATCACTCTGCACGATGATATTCCAGCATCTAGAAGGTAAGAAAGCATGCTCTGAAGGTGAATGCTGTTAAATAGGCACCCTGCTAAAATCAGACTTTTCTCCTCTGTTTACAAAGAGTGAGGACCAGAAGTGAAGAACTGTCACTCTGGTGACAAGAGTTGATCTGCTAAGCATAAAAATAATTTAATCTGCTTTGTTATGACTTCAATTACTTCAACTTTGTTTTGAAGATGAAGAAAAAAGAAAAACTTGAAGAAGAGTGAGAGACCCTTCTCATTTCACACATCTTTTAAACAAAATTTCCTTTGAAATGGTTATCAACTTTCACTTCTGTGTATTTTCTTGAGAAGGTGAATACTTTTGTGATATTGTCAGTTCATCCATGTGTCCATTTTGGCTGATGCAGCTGATGAACAATTCCCTGAGTCTGTCTTTTTATTGAAGACAAAGAATTTTTCTTTAAATCATTCCATCTTGATTTTTTTGTTTCTTAAAACATTTCTGGTTTTCCTCTCTCTTTGGTTATAGTTGTATATCCACAGTGACGGGAAGGATCCTAACTTAGTCCCAATGTAGGTTAAATGTGAAAGTGTTTGTAAGGAGACCTAACATCTCAGGCTGGAGATGAGCAAGAGCAGCACGTATAATTTTACATTCCTCCTCCCTGCTCTACAGTCATTTCCTCAGAAAAGAACAAGAGTCAGCTGGGTCAGATTTGGGGGCCAGCCTTACTGGATGAACTTGAAGTGATGTGCAAGTCTATGGATTGAAGCTCCCACGGGTTGAAAGATAATTGCATTTGCAATCAGTGTGTGCCCACACGCTACGAAAGCTCCATCAAAAACATCTAATTTGGCTTTCAACTCTCATTAGCTTAATGCAAAATGCCCTGGTCCAGCTGGAAATGGTGTAGAAAATCCCCATTAACATTATTTGTCATTTTTATGGTATTATTCTTCTGCAAGACTTGAAGTGCTTTGTAGCAGCCATTTCATGAGGGGCATGTATTGTATTTTACTAGTGAGTTTTACTGACTGACTGACCACAGTAGTCACCGTGGTCCGAAGAAGGGATGGGACACGAGGAAGGGTGCAAGTAGAATGATTTATTCAGGTGTGCGCAGGATTCTTATCGGTTCAGGCAGGGAAAGGACCAGAACATAGGGTGAGGTATCAGACAGACAAATGGGGGAGCAAATCAGGATAGGGGCACAGGCGAAAGAGGGAGGAACGTGGGAGGAACCGGGGAGAGAAGGGGCGAATGGAGGCTGTTTCCTCCCTGCAGCTCCTCCAGCCAATCGGCAGAAAAACAGGGGAGCAGGGAGGTGAACAGGCCGGGATATGCCTGGAAGATACAAATTCTGGGGGAACATACAATGTGTGTATACATAATAACCATAAAGTCTGCATCATAAAGTCCGCATCATAAAGTCCGTTCAATCACTGTGCATCCTTTTCCACTTCTGAGATTTTCCCCATTCTGATTCCTGGTCCTTCACAAGTAGTGTCAACACACTTCTGAGGAAGGGCTAGAATTAATCATCATGGAAATGTGAATTAAACAGGGGAATCCAGGAAAGAGAAAAAAAATGGGTTAAAATATGTGCTGGTTCGTCAAAAACAATCCTCTCCCTTGTTTATGGGAAATATTCCTTTCCTTTGCCCATGGGAATCACATCCTTTGCCTGGAAATGCCCTATAAATTACACAGAGCAAGCTGCAAGAGAACACTGAGAAGTTATAAAGGGAAGCACGTGAATTCTGAACTATAGTGGTTTTGAGGAACAAACCTCCCACTTCAGCTTCCTTATCCCCCCATCTAGTGTATGTAACATAGCTAAAGGAACACATTGAAGACTAGGACAGCGTTGTCCCTACCAATTG